ACTTGGGACGATCCTACTCAGACCAGAGAATTGATTTGGAACGTTTACAATAATAACGCGGTCGGCTATAGAGCGCAGTTCGAGACGGTAGTGGATAAATATATTTCTAATATCGGACTTTAATTTCCCAATATACTTTTAACTAAATTTTCCGGCTTGCATTCATTGTTTCCCGTGGGAGATCAATTTTTCTAGATTAAAAAAAAATCCAATTTCTTCGCGCAGACTTATTGCCTGACACTTACATCTGTTAATATCCTTAGGACGGCTGCGGGCACGAAAGGGTGTCCTTCATAACCATCGAACGACGCCACAGCGCGTCTCATTCTTCCGTCACTCCCAAGTCACTGGCGAATACGAAGTCGTGGTCGGAGGACACGAGCGGGAGTGTCAATCACGTTCCCAACGTGGAGACCGAAGCGAAGTTGCAAACTTCGTTAGAGCATGTGCAGCAGGGTGAAACAGAGGTTTATTGGGTGAGCTACATGGAGGGTGAGCAACGCGTGCTGCTGTTCACGCAGCACGAAAACGTGTACCTGAAAGCGAGGAGCATCATCGATCCAGAAGCGAGCAAGAGAGAAATATTCTTGTCAATCGCATCTATCGGAATCAGCGTTGTAAGTGACGAGCGATCCTGCGTTTCAAGCGTGATCCAAGATTAATATATTTTCTTTCGTAGGTTGTACAGGAATCCAATAACGTCAGACGGGAATTAATGTACGCCAGTGTGATCGACTCCGCCGCGCATTGGGAGCTCTACTTCAGCAAACGATGGAGGAATCTGTCGCTGGAGCTGAGCGCCTGGTTAGAAAATAAATATACGAATTCCGCGAAGACGGCGCAGCTCGAGAATTTCATTGATGTACGTCTAATGCCAATTTAAAAAACTGTTGTATTGCGAATGTGTCGTTCATTATGTAGAGCTCGTAAATCTTAATTCTAGCTTCCGCACAATTTTGTTAGCATTTAATAAAATATAGAGTGCTATTGTCCATTATATAAATTGTATGTTAAATGATAAGTTTTCTGTTAGCATAGAAAAGAATATTTTCATGTATTGTAAACTGTCATTATCTCTTTGGCTTTTCGCACAGCGAAGTGCCTTATTACGCAGGTCTCTGACAGGCCTTTTCAAATCTTTTGCAGGTTGACTTTACAAAAATGCAGATGACCAAGCCGTTCTTCGGCAAACTACGAAGGACGTATTCGCCAGGTGTCTGGTTGCATTGCAGGGAATCCACGACGCTTTGTTACTTGCAAGGATATATTCACAGAATACAGGTATACGAGTAACACGCGGAGAGAATCTCCTCTTAAAATTTGTCCCGAAAATTGTGTAATCGTAGGACAACCATTTTGAAGAACTTTATGAGAGTTTTCTGAAATGTTAAAAGAGTGAGAACAAGATCGGCCCCGTTTTTTTCGCATTCGATTTTAGTCACAAAGTAGGTACCAAACGAAAGGTCTTTTAGAGATATCGGGCTCCAAAAGTTCCCAGGACGTAAGCGATGAAGCCGTCTGGACAGACATCAGCCATTTGTTTAGAATGGAATGGAACCTTTGGAGCCCGATATCCCTGGAACGTTAAAAAGGTACACTCTGAGACTGACATATCTGTAATCAGCTTGACGAGACCTTTCGTTTGGTACCTACTTTGTGACCAAAATCGAATGGGGGAAAAAATGGGGCCATTTGCCTATGGACATTTGTTCTCACTCGCTGTTCAAAGTAAAAATTTTAAGTTCTTCAAAACGCCATGTTATCCCACGATTACATGATTTGCAGGGTAAATGTTAAAAGAAAATTCTCCGTGTATATATGCAAAACAAATATACATATATGTATATACATATATAAATTTCTCTGGCTTGCAGATCGATAATCAACTGAACGAAGCTACCCTTCCGGTAGTCTTGTATCCCGATTTGCAAAAGACTTTTGTGAATTTTGCTGGAAGCCGCAGATTGAAGCATTGCTTGGAGTTCTCGTATCTGAAACAACGCAAATTGAGGAGTATTGTTTACAAGTGCGTGCGCACAGATGTCGCGTGTTAACGCCCGGACTTTTTTCGTAATGACTTTCATACGACAATTTTCTCTTCCAGAGGGATATGCGTTATCGTGAGGGAGTTCAATTTGAATCTAGAAGAGGCTTTTCTCTGCTCCTTGATCAATTTGATTCCTAAGACACCAGAAACCAAACACTCGATCGCCGCGAAACTCAGGAGGGACGTGTCCAACATGCGCGTTCCTTCGGTTCACAAAATTAGTAATGTAATGTCTAATCTCGCGCACAATTTCGACGCGTTATAAATGCATGGTCTTTGACTGATTCACGTGTATGAATCGCAGGACGCAAACAGCAAGAGGAAGAATTTGGTAGAGCGGATATACATCTCTCCGATAGTATTGCGCTTGAAATTATTGGCAAACACGGATGGACTTAACGCGCGTAACTTCAGCAATGTACTCGGTTATCACAACGTTCTTCGATTTATCTTCGAGTACGCGGAGAAGGGTACGTTTGAGAGGAACGTTGAATTCAGGTGAGCGATTACGATTTGGATGAAACTGGAAGGCGCGCGCGACAGTAAAGTCTCATCTCATTTGCTCTTACTCGTTCAGATTGCCCGAGTATCGAAAGAGCTTCATTGCCGCGGACAGCGAGCGATTCCTCCCGCATCTTTCGCGCGTTTACGTGGCGCAGATTATGGAGCAGTTCCACGTGTTGGTGCGCTTAACCACTGTCCTGGGAAATCAGTACGGCTACAACTTTAAGTCATCGGGGAGCAGTTTCTGCGAGCCGGATTTGGTAAGCAAGCGAAAGCGATATGTGTCGCGAATGATACATCTTTCGTCTCGAACACGGCGCTAATTTACGGTGAGTTTGTAGCTGTTGATGTGCGGAGACGAGTCTGCGGAGAGGCTGGCACACGAGGTCGCGTGCGAGCTGGGACACGCTACGTCCGACGGTATGCAAGCCTCGTTTTTAAGCGGCCACGACGCTCACACGCTTCATTACAAGGTACGCTATAAAACTGCGGGAGAACCAAAAATTAGCCGCTCTTTCCCATCTTAACGAAAAGCCTAAGCTTTTAATTTTCGACACTATCTGACGATTAAATTCTCGATTTTCATTAAGTCGCAAAGTCCAATAGAAATTAAATCGTCGGTTTAAAAAATTTCAAGCTGTTGGACAATTTTGGTTCTTACTGTTAAAAATACTCGTAAGCTCCTGGAAATATTTCGTGCAGCGATTGAAAATAGAAACTGGAACACGCGTCATTTCGTTTCAGATGAAAGATACAAATTATCAGAATCCAGATGTGCCGCCTTCAGTGTTTTTAGTCGATCATTCGTTCGCCACAGAAATCGATTTGGAGACCTCCGGCTTGATCACTACGTCGACGAACAGTGAGTAAACCGTTGCTGGTCGTAATGTACGAGTGGATGTAAGTGGGATCATACATAGTCGTGCTGCGCACATCTGTTGATTCGCTCATTGCCGTTTCATTTCCGGCTGCGACGTTTTTTTATTAAATCTCTTGCAACTGACAGGCATTCATCGAGAAGAATTAAGATATTTCTTCAAAACGTTGGGAAAGAAAACCTCTGTGCTGTTCAAGGCGGAAAGTTCTTGTTTGAAAACTTATTCGAAACTGATAGCGGACATGATAAAAAGGTATCAGCGCTACCAGCACTATTTTTCTCTCGTCGTTAACGACGTTTAACTTAAAGGCGAACTGTCTGCCTTGCAGGACGCAGGAAGTGGGTCTCGTATCCAGAGTGCGACTGCCGCGATATATTAATCCACACTTCGTGAGTACCATCGGAAATCCGCGACCTCCCAATCATCTTCTTTGAATCACTAACAATTAATATTGTTATTTAGGGTGTGGAGCTGTTCTCGACGCACAAAGCGAAGGGAGCGTACTTGTTGAACGCTATAAGTAAAGGTCACTGCGTGCAGAACGATTCTTATTGGGGACACGCTGCGCTCCATAGCGACGGAAAGTACATTACACTCGTATCTTTGCAGTAAGTCACTCGCAATAATTATACCAAGTGTCTCAGGCGTCTTTGGTCCATGGATCCATCGAGCCATTTAAGGGTGACAGAAGGCTAGCTAAATCTGCGACTTGTATGGTATAGAGTCGAATTCATTGACGCGTATGTTTAATGTTGTGCCCGTAATATCGACAGCGAAAGAGCCTGAGAAAAAAATTATTGTATTAACTCTTTCTAATCCAGAATGTAAAAGGAAGTAAATCCTCGGGTCTTTTTTAGACGAATATACTATATCGAGAAGGGAAATACATGGGGATCGTGGAACGTGAAGTGGACTCTAGAGACTAATCAATTGCTGTCACCACCAACTGTCGCCAAGGACAAGCTCGTTTTGCATATAACGGAGGTAATTGTTACGGTGTATCCCCAAAATTGATTTAGTGCGATCGTAATTATCCAAATACAGAGAATTGCGGCACGAATAATTTTGTTCGTTAAAAATGCGCGAGTTGCGATTCGTCGCGTTAAACAAATTCGAATTATAAGTGCAACAGTAGGATATTGGACAATGGCGTCGTTCTGTTGTCGATCGATCGACGGTCGCGAATGATTGCGTTCAATTTAATTTCTAGAACGAGGAAAAGACATCGTCGTCTATGGTAGACTGGTACGTGGAGAGCGAGGTCGCGGACATCCTAGAATGGCTGTGTCGCAAAATGAACAACGCAATGATCTTGAACATGGAGAGCGGCATTTGTTCCAAATGAGAATGAGGAGTTCGTTGACGAGGCCACCGTAAGGAGGAAACAAAGAACAAAGAGGATGAAGAGATCAGTGTATTTACATATTTAGTTCGACGTAATAAAAGTCTATACGGTGAATGAAAAAAAAGGAGAAAAACGCTATATATGTTTCTCTAATGCCCTACACTTTTTTATTATTATTATTATCATCATTATCATTGTATCTTGCCAAAGTCAGATCGCATCTTCGTCTTGGATAAAGTACGTCTAGTTTATTTCATAATTTATTTACAAAAAGTCTTAGTAAATTACACTTACAGGCATCTCCACTCGAACTAAAGTAAATAATTTAAGAACTACATGTATTTAGATATCTATAGAATAGGATACTTTAGGGTCGGGGAGAAGCTGGGACCAGGGAAAGTGTTCTGTTTAACTTATTTCAACACGCTTCTAAATCGTATGTCTTCGCAAGAATTCGAGTCGTTTTAAACGGCTACACGTCGTATGTGAAAACTAAATCGTCATTCCGTCTCTCTTAAATTCATTCTCTCTACGAAACGAGGAAGTATACCAGTGGAAGGTGTGCGATGACGAGTTCCAATGCGTCTGTCTATCTCTTTCTCTCTGTCTCTCTCGCTCTCTTTCTCTCTCTCTCAGTTTTTCTTTTCCTTGCAACTGCTGCGTAAATGTTCGTGAGAGTGGGAGTTTACAATTAGATGTATGTATCGTAAGAATCGTCAAAATATGTGCAAGCTGACAATCGGTATTTGTTAGTTTTACAATAACGTATATGCGCGCTTTGAAAAAGCATAAAATCTTGGTTATAAATATATTCCCATTAGAATCGTTTAATGGCACGATCGAGCTTAAATTTAAAAATCTTCTTGCTTTATCTTTTTTTTTAATATATTCGTTTCTACATTATCGCCCAGAATCAGTTTCGTCTGCTTCTACAATGTTGGTTTTTCATCTTCCGCCTCTCCGTTCCTTTTTTCTTTATATTTTTCCTTTTGTTATCACAACGGCGTTTAATTACGTTTATAAATACGTTTATTCCAAAAAGACTGCAGTTAGATTCGCTACTTTCAAATCTCTCTTCGGAAAGGAAGCCATCGAAAAAGAAAAAAAGAAAAAAAGGAAAAGAAAACATTTACCGAAAGTGTGAAATCTAAGGAATTCAAGTGATTACTGCGAAATTAAACGGTAATTGAAGTGACTACCTAAATTAATCAGTTACTTAGTTTCGCAAGCTATATTTGTGTTTTTTCTCTTTTCACAGACACTGTCCCCACCCCTTTTTCTACCGGCACCCCCATCCTCCGTGCATACATACACGCGGCGCACACACGCACGCATTTTCTCCTTTCTCTCTCTAAAGTCATCTTTTATATTAATACGCGCACATATGGAGCCATTCCCTCCCCCCGTATCGCACGTATCGCACTCGCGCGCAACATATTAGACACGCACACACCTCTCTCTCTCTCTCTCGTGCACACGTCCAGGCGGACATGTGCTGTTCTGTCGACCCAGGTTCTGTCTACTCCGGAATCCCCTCTCTATTCTGAAACAGCTGTCTCTTCCCCCTGTAAACTGGAATTCCTCTCTCGCTTCCGTTTTACGTTGCACTCGGTAACTTGGCCACGTTACCGTGCCGCAGAATGGGTAAAGCGATTGGAAACGGGACGACACGACGGCGTTCCGGCGCTGCAAAAGACAAGAGTACCGAATGGGGATTCCCCAGAATAGAGGGGACCGGTTACCGGGGTCCGGGCGATTTTTGAGAATAAAGGAGGGCTCGCAGCATCTCCGTCCCCCGACGGAGCACGGACTGTCCCGATCGTTTTTTTCTCAATCCTTCTCTCTCCCCTCTCGTCATCCCGCTCTTTCCGTCTTTCCATCCCTTCCTTTCTTTCCCTTCCTCTCGCAGCCTCTAACATATACATACATACATAGATACATACATGCATGCACGCAATACACAAATACATAAACATGTACGCACGCATGCACGCTTCCTCGCTCCTTAATTCTCTCCCGCTCACGCTTTCACGCTCTCGTTCTCTCTGCTAACTCTTCCCTCTCAATCAGCGGCTTTATCACACGTATATTAGTTTTTTTTTCTTCTCTTCTAGCAATGTCTTTCTTCAGTTCTAGTTTCTGCCTGTGCTTCTAAAATCGAGACCTCACGCGGCAACCTTACAGCCGCAAACGTATATATTTGCGCCACCGTAGCCGCAGCACGAAAATCGAATAAGATTCAAATGGAAGTGTGTTATCTACAAAATATCTTAATTACTCGCTAATTACAGCACAAAACATGCAAATATAAAAATTTGCATTATATTATCGTTTAATATTTATATATATCATTCCGATATATCATTCCACATCGCACCATTAAGGTTCGCCGACATGATTCTTGGTATATATATTATTATGCAGCTGACCGTTGTCTCTTGAAAGTCCGTTTTCTTTTTCTTACTGCGTATGCATGTGTACGTGTGCGTACGTGTATATTATATATATATATATATGTATATATAATAAGTGTTTGCCGTGTCGTGTCCGCGCGGTTGCACGCGCGCGCATGTCGCGTGTGCCACGTGTTGTATGCACGTGTGTTTGCATCCGTGTCCCGTGTATACTTTGCAAGTATACTGCAAGTGTATGTCCCTGTGTGTATCTGTGTGAGACTGCGTATATGTGTATGTGTGTGTCCCTCTCTCTCTCTTTCTTTCTCTCTCTATGTGTACGTGTGTATACCATTTTTTTCTTTCATTAACTATGAAATATCTTACACTATCGATATTATTCCAATTCTTCGAAGGGGAAGGTATACCAACGGGCGGAGATCGCATCGGGTATACCTACGCTAACACCAATAATTAAACTTTCTTACTTCCTGTTTAATCGATATAAAACTACAACTGCGCTGCCATGGCTTTTCATCAGCACTTTTGTCCCTTCACTCGTGCACTCTTATCACGTCGTGCGCGTGTCTTTCTCTCTCTCTGTTCCTTTCCCGCCTCGTCACTCGCCTCTCTCCGTCACATATATCTGTCTCCCACTTTCCCTGCACGTCCGCCTTTTCAACGCACTACAGCCGTTCGTACGCAACGTCGTCGTTGTCGCGTGCATCTTACGCATCATCATAATTTTCATCATCATCAGCGTCATCGTGACCGTCGGCACTGTTAACATACCCGCGCGAATCGCGTACCAGTGTCCCGACCGACGACAGAGAGTTACGTACCCCTCGAACACTGGAACAACACACGCGCGACTATCGCGGCGACCTGCTGATCCAGGATCTGGCTCATGACCAGGGCGAGCAGGCGGGACTCGTGTTGCAGGAGGAGAGTTCGGTTGTCCGGATGCCTTGCGAGGTTGAGCAGCGTGCCGGCCGCGCGTCGCAGCATGTCGAGGCTGGTGCCCATCGATTCGGGATTCTCGCGCAGAGCGGCGAGACCGTGCTGATTAGCGACGCCGAGTGCGCTGGTCTCGGCCTGCTCGATGAACGCGACGAGCAGCGCGACGCAGGGCGTCTGTAGGGCGATGGTGCGCGCGACGCCGCTGTCCGCCGCCGAGAGGAAGTGCAGCAGATTCACGCCGAACTCGCGCAGCACCTGCTCCTCGCTGCGGCAGAGGAGCCTGGTCAGCACCGAGCATAGTCTCTGCAAGCGGGAATACGGCGGCGTCGCCACCACCAAGTCGACGTTGCACTCGGTCACGCATAACTTGCACAGCGCCTCGAGCGCGAGTCTCTGCGGCGACAGGGAGGAATTGGGGCCGACCGTCGGGAAGGGGTCCTGACCGTGGGCGGCCGGGCACACGGCCCAGTGCAGGAGGCCGTCGAGCACCGGCCGCGAGATCTCCTCCGGATGCTGGCTCAGGTCCATGTGGCCGGATATGTTGGCGGCCATCACGAGAACGTTCTCCCTCACGTGATGGAGGAAGTCCCACCACCACTCGCCCTCGCCCTGTAAACTGCTACACGAGTCCGCAAAGTCCGCGTCCTCCTCGCGGTCGTAATTGCGCGTCTTTTGCGCCCGTACCGGGTGCTCGTGGTGCAGCAACAACAGCTTGCCGAGTAGACTGAGGAACGTCACGTTCTTTGCGAATTCCGCCTCGTTGCCGGGGATGAAGGTGAGATTCCTCAGGATCGTCGACAGGCACACGCAACGACGGGCCAGGTTGTCCTGCGTCTCCGTCACCAGGTAGAGACTCGCCTCGTCCCTCGAGTAGCTCTCGTCCTCGTAGTCGCTTATCCTCCGTCGCTTTAGTGTTCCTGCCGGATCTCTTACGTTTAATCTTGGTCCCTCCTTGTCGTCTCTGGTCGTTCCCAGTTCGTTCTCTTCCGTCGTTTCCGTCTTGATCTCGACATTTTTGTCTACGGCGTTGTCGATGTTGCTTGCCGCCGCCGTTGCTGTCGTTATCGCTGTCGCTGTCGCTGTCGCTGTCGTCGTCACCGTCGCTGTCGTCGCTGCCGTTGATTCATTCAGTCCATTCTGCGTCGGCAACGAGTCCTCATCGTTCTTTGACACATCACTGCCAAAGTGCTCGCCCATATTGTTGTTTGCTTTCGTCACCTCGCTGTCGCAATCTTTCTTGAAGCCGTCGTTCTTCTTCTCAAACAGCTCCCTCGTGAGATCGTTCATCTCTACGGGTTCCTTCTTGATCCTCGACAGCACGTCGCTCAGAGTCTTTGTCTTCTTCTTCTTGTCTAGTTGTTGCTGTTGCTTGCGCTCGCCACTATCCTTGCTAGATTGCTTGTCGCAGAGCTCGCCGGACTTGTGGGAAAAGTCAAGCGTCTCGTGGACACCACTGACGCTGTCCGCTTTGGCTTCGTCCTTCAAATCCGTGCTGTCGACTTCCTTTTGCAACAGAGGCGGTTTCTCGTCCCTTAGCAAACGGGCGAAAGGCACCGAGCCCATTTCAGACTGAAAACACGTGACGATATATTTGGTCGCGTTTGTGTCGACTTGCCACGGCTCGGTTTCCGACTCGCACTCCTGATGATCCCAAGGCCTCCGCGTGTCCAGAACGAACAGATCGTCGTCCCGAGAGACGATCTTGACGGGGCGTCCTCTCCTCGAGAGATACGTATAATTCGATGTAGACAGCAATTTCGTCCGGTCTTCCGAATCGATCGGGCGCGTCACCGCGCCGAGGTCTACCTCCGGACCATCTGCGGCCTGGCAATAGCGATCGTCGTCGTTTACACATGATTCGAACATGTCGGAGAGAGAACGCGAGAAGTGTTCGAGTAGAACATCCAGTAGTCCGGGTAGGTGTGTCAATCCGAAATAACTTACCTGTAAACAAAAGATATTTTTATTATATATATACTTTTTACACATGTGTGTGTTTATTTTGTGTTACTTCTTTACTGTGTAAAAAATACATCTATTCATAGTACATAGGTAATTGCAACACGAAAGAATTATTAACAATTCTCCCACGTATCTTTCATTTGTTGTACATATTATCTCTTTAATTTTCTATATATATATTTTTTTAGCCTTAAAAATATTTGCACTAGTAAAGTATATACTCACAGAAGAGTCATCGAATAATAAAATGTTTAATACGTCGAGGGCCCAGCAGCTCTCGGCGAGTAGACCCGATCTCAAAGCCATCATGATGCGCCAAGCTTCCACTGGCGCCACGTCAGGGCGCGTCAGTTTTCGTCGCTTGTACAAAAGAGGCGTGATCGCTTCTACGCTGTCAGGAGGGAATGTCATTTCTCTCTTTGACGTCGGTTGCTGGCTGATCATGGGATTCACTCCGAGCTGGTTCTGCGCAAAATAATACAATGAAATCTCATTTGTCTCGGGAGCATCTTAATTAAAAAGACACACATTGCAAAACAATATGTGACAATATCCCAACAATAAACTATAACAGAAATTAATTAAAGAATATATCGACAGCATGGAGTATGTTGATTAACAGCGGATGCTATAAGGTCAAATTTCTCGTCAACACAAACTACCTTTCGCGCTGAGTCAAATTACGATCAACTTGCGAGGAGAATGTACCTGATGACTCCCGGGTGCTGGATACAAAGGGGACGGTTGATTCGTGTAGCGATGATCCCACGGTGGAGGCGGATGCGGTATAGTGTTGAGAGACGGTTGGGGTGCGGGCCTGTTCGATTGCTGGCTGGCCCATTGTTGACTACTAGGCATACCGCCGACCACCGCTGGAGCGGTCGGGGCAGGGGTGACGACTTGGGTGACTCCTTGTTGCGGCTGCGGCGGTTGCGGTTGCTGCGATGGCGACGGCGCCTGCTGGCTCGGGTACTGAACCCTGTTGTTTCCACTATTACTATTGTACTGATTAGATGTATTTGGCCATCCTGCAGCAAGAAATCACATTTCCTTGGGTTACTCGCGACCAAAGTACTCGACTTGCAAAGCTTCTTCTGAAATAACAATGCGTGACAATTGTCGACATTCAAGTATCTCACCTGGATACGCCGGTCGTTGCTGATTATACTGGGGATACTGTTGGTCTTTGGCAAAGTCTGGGTGGCGTCTGGGTTGAGTGGGCCCCGGAGGGGGCGGCGGCATGTTCTTGTTAGCCGCTCCGCTCGCAGTGTATATTTGAGTTCCACCGGGCGCTCCGTATCCACTCTGCAACGCGACGATAGATATTGAAAGATTGTTAACTCCTTTACTGTACAGTGATGGACAGAATGGTTGCAGCACTTGTTTCTGACGAGTTTAGAAACGTGCATTTAGGTTCAGGGTTACGTTTCAACTAATTAAAAAAAAAAAGTGTTGCAGCCATTCTGTCCATCACTGTGCACATCAAAAATTTTCCAAATCACAGAACACAACTTGAGCGATAAAAAATTAAACGGGACTTTTCGCGACCATACGCCAGTGTACCAGAGTGTACACTCAGCTTCACGAGTGCCTATACACCTGAAGAAAGACTCTAAAGAAGAGAGATATCCGATGGGAAAATTTATTTTAACAAAATGAATTTTTCTATCGGAACTTAACGGCTGTTTTCGAGTGTAAAAGCACTCATAATTCCGAGTGTACACTCGGGTGCGCTTTAGTACATGTACCAAACAATCGCCAAAAATTGCCTATAACGACGCGACTAGTAACAAGATATCAAGTATTACTTGTTCCTGTCGATAGTAGTCTTGCGGACACGAGTACGACGACACGGTCGGCGGTTGCGAGGGCGAGGAAGGCTGGCTGGTCGCCGTCTGCTGTTGCACAGCAGCCGGATGAGCCTGCGGTCCCGCCGGGTAGCTGTTGCTCCGCGCGTTAGGAGGCGTTCCCGTGGGATAGCTAGCGGGACCTTGCTGACCGCCGGTGTATCTGTTGTACATGTCCTGTCCAGTAGCGTTGTTCGGCGGCATGTTACCACCCGGGTATCCCCTGTACGCGACAAAGACACGTGAATATTTTTCTCCGCGCGAAATATGGCGAAATGTGACGACTTCTCTCTCACCTGTCGACATCCGGTACGTATGGAGGGTAATGCGATCTAGGCGAGTACGGTTGACTGAACTCCCCTTGCTGAGACAGCGCGTTTCCCTGCGGCCGAATGTACTGCTCTTGCGGATAGTTCTGGTAGGAGCCCGTGTTCTGGTAACTACCCTGCTGTATCCCTTCAAGAGCAAAAGCGTTCGTCGTACAATTCTAACTGACGCCCGTTCCCGGAAGATTAGTACAAATGTATTCGAGCTTTATAGTATGTACAGTGATGTAACCACTCTGTCCGTCACTGTGCGTGTCTCGAGAGATGTAAAAATAAATCTACTGGCGAGCTAAGGGATTGTAAGCTGCGAGACGTACCTTGATGGGCGGAGGGTGCGCTGCTTTGACTGGGTGGCCTGGGCGGCGGCGGCGTGTACTCCGACGACGGGCCACCGGGTGTGCCGCCCGCGTAACTACCCTGGTAGCTTCCATAGCCGTCCATGGAAGCGTTGCTCGATCCAGCAGCGGGAAAGGAATCTTGGGAATTGGAAGAACCTGCGGGAACGAACAGTCTCATTTCTAGTCGGGGAAGCGGTTCTCTTGACGACGAGAAAGTTTTGTGCGAGCAAACGACCAAATTTCGGGAAGAAGTAAAATGATATGTGTACGCAGTAGCATACCCGGCGATGGTACGGAAGCAGTTCCCTTGGATCCCTTCTTCTTCGAGCCCGCCTCGACCTGATTGATGATGGGCTGCGGGTCCACACCCCCGCGATCAAAGTGGCACTCGTATGCCAGCAGGTGCTTCGTGTAGTGCTTGCGCAGTGTGTAAGCAGCGCTACTGCTCGCACCGATGCCCAACAGGCCGGCTATATCCTTCCACGTCTTGTTTTTCGTCACCTACAGAAGGAGATTGCGCACATGTGTTCTTTACTACGTTCGCGAAAGAGCGCTTTCACGTCGAATCTCAAACACAGACAAAAAGATCTGCATGTCCAAAAGAAATAGATAAACGCAATGATACAAAAGGCATCGCCGACGTTCTATGACCTGACGTACCAGTTTCAAAATATTGATAATGACATTGAATCGGCGAGGTCTCTAAACGCATGCAAATGTAAACAAAAAAATTAATAAATTAATAACGAGAGAAATACACAGAGTACAATCGGAACGAATTACCGTTATTGTAATATTTCGACATTAAAAGTTTATCTTCGCTGTGTGACTATTAGAATAATTCCATATAGCACCAAGGTTTGTAGATCAGGGTGTTTCCATATTCGACTGTTGAACAACTACTTCAAGAAAAGATATGTTAAGCCTTTCTTTTTCTTACTTTTCCCAATGTTCAGACACAGATTATGAGAAAGTGATACTAATAGCAAAAAAATAATACAGCTATACGTACATCATGCACAATTCAACATAGAAATGTAAAAACAAAGCGTATTCTGAGGTGTTTCGATATGAATTATTTCAATTTCAGATCTGGATCTTCGGTTATAAATCGTGTCAAAATTTTGTCACGTGCTCGACGCAGACTTGAGAAATATTTTGAGCCATCGAGCACCGATAGCGAGTATAGCAATCGACATAAGACACCTCAAAAATGTAGTGTGCAGAGCAAGTATAAAGAATGTAAAAATACATGAAAACAATACGAAAACTATGTAAGACACCAAGGGCTAGATGGAACTACACTGCACCTTGCATACCTCCATGAAGCCCCCCCTCTCCTTCACGTAGAGGTAAAGCCGAAATAGGTCGAGGGGGTTCTTGGAGATGGTAGGACAACTGGTGATCGGTGATCTTCGCTCTTCCATAAAGTTGACCAGCTTGTCCAGCCAGGTTCTTCGTTCTATCGAGTCGTCCATTTCGTATAACTTTGCCAGACTATCTGTCTTCTGAAAGTCGCACAATATTACGCTACTTTAGCATACGCCGAGGAGAATCTCACGTGGAATATTGTTAATATGTAAATTCGACAGAAACGTCTCGCCGTGTATTATTGATCTAACTAAAACATCGAACGATTATTACGCTTGCGAAGCTGCGAACGTAATCCCAATTGTAGCCATTGTCTAGCATGCATAAACATTTTGGATATTTCTATTTCTCTTTGGTAGACATGTTAATTGAAATAGTTGTTAATACGTATATCCTTCATTACCGTTAGTAAAGTACATACATTTATATCGGGTAAATCCACAGATTAAAACCAAATAGTAGTAAAGATTCTGAGAGCAGTCTCTCCCTCCGATGCACGTTAAAAAATTTCTTATTTAACATTTATCGAAAACTAAATGGTATCGAGCAATATGCAGCCTAGTAATTTGATGCATGCGATAATTATTAAGTAAACATTCTGTTGTTGCGCAATGTATGGAGAGACAAAATAGAAGGAGAAACTTACAAAATACCGACTGCAAGAAATAAGCACATCAATGTATATAATAATCAATAAATAGTCCATAAAGTGATACGGGGTTGCCGCAAAGTTTGTAGTACTAATAATCTGTGGTAATATTTACTATACTATGGGGTTATATCATAATTCTTTTGCAATCTTGCAAAAGGAGTAGTTAATTATTGTACCGTCACAGTCGTCCGCCCAATAAAAATGTTACATTAGTAATGAATGACGGGCTCTAAAAAAACAATTACTAAGCAAATTAGAAATTAGATTATTAGGAGTACATTAAATATATATGCTATATCGAAATGATGAGGCTTCAGGTACTTGATGCTTTTTACGGACACTGTGACCTGCAGGGATTAATATGATACGTATATGTGCCAAGCAAGAAAAGTTAGTGTAGAGTAAAACTGCCTAAAGCGTAGAGTGCAAAGGGGGAGTCAACTGGCGTCTCGACGAGTATAACAAATATTTGTAGTGAAAAACAATAACCTTAGATCTGTACGGGTCTTGAGGCACATGACTGTTAAACACCTGTAAAATATTAAAATGTTGAAAGTTCAAGTAATATGTTGCATTCGGACGTCATCCGAGGTAATCAGTTAACTGCTAATTTTAGCGCCATGAGACTCGTGTATCGCGTGTAAAAGTGCATGCGGGTGATACGTACAGGACTAGCAGGAGTACGCGGCCAACCAGGACTGTTCATGTCGGAATATTCCTCGTGAATCGAATTAATGCTAGCAGCGCCAGGAGACGGGACAGTGCTCTGCGGTGTCGCAGGATGGCTGTGGTATCCCCCTATCATCTCCTTCCGCACTTTTGGTGTAAACGCTGGATCTTCACCAGAGGCTGTTTACAATACATTTGGTTAAAATAATTGAAGCACTCGTGCGACTCGCCGTGTCGCAGTTTTACGCGATTAAAATCGCGCGCGAACATAAGACGGGCAGATTTAGAGATAACACTGACCAGCCGATGCGTTAGATAACGTCGACTGCTGCGAACCTTCATCCAGAGACGTGCCGTCTGGACCTGTTGTTATTACAGACGTCACAGTACCACTCGAAGTAGATATGACATTTATAGCTGACGTACCTACGCACAAGACGTGCAATCTCGTTATTCACTTGCGCGGACGACGATGAGGCAAAAGTTACAAAAAAGAAAACGAGATGAAAATCTACTCGATTCGAGAGATTTCCGGCTCACCTGATGCGGTCGTGGTTATACCGCTGTCGTTGGAAGTCTCAGCCGTGAGATCCGCGGAATTGTGACTGGTGGGTGTCGGCGCCGACGCGGGGTGCGAGTTCGGTGTTGTGCTCGGCGGTGGCATCGGGCTGCCCTCGTGATTGAGGGGCGGCGTGGCCGCCGGCGTGTGTAAGTGCGGCACCGCCGAGCTGGTGGGCGGTGGCGGCTGGTTACTTATGTGATTAGGAGACGGTGGTGGCGGGCCCATGGAGCTCGCCGGCGGTCCCATGTTACCGATGACGGGCACACCGGGGGTACCCGGTGGTACCATCGTGGTCGTGCCGCCAGCGCCGTAAACCTGCGGCGGTCCCGGACTCGGTGGCATTCCCGGTGGCACGCTGTTGAAGCCCATTTTATGCTGAAAGACAATGGGAGAAACGTTACCCTTGGACGTAACAATGAAATAAATCATCGCCGGTGCATTGTCGATTAAATGAAACGTTCATTACCGCGTACGGTGGATATTGTACCAAGTTGTTGGGTCTGTTGGGAGGCTGATACTGATTGTTGGGTGGTGGTTGCGAGTTTGCCGGCGTCGGATACCCCTGCGGAAACTGCATGTGAGGACGCGGAGGCGCGTACGTGGACTGCGCATGATAACCTCCGGGCTGACCCGCGGCAGTTCCGCCGGCCGCGTAGCCCATCCCACCACCCATCGGGCTGATCCCACCGAGAGCCGTCGAGCCGGGTCCCGGTTGGACTACACCAGGACCAGTGCTGTTCATTTTGTAGCTGTGCATGTGTGGCGAAGGACCCAATGGTTGCTGGTAACCGCCTGAAACCGATCGGCGTGTCATTTTACTGCCGCTACGATTTTTGCCTCACAATTTACGCCGAGGCAAGTAAGCGGAGGGAACTTCCTCTGTTATGAGATAGAGAGCAGGTTTTCAGCATCAACGTTCAAGCACAAGTCTTTTCTCGCCACGATTACGCAATCTAACAATGAATCCTCCACTAAACAGACTTGGCTCCAGGGGCAAGAAATTCCTGGTGGAATTACCTGACGGTGCCCGTTAATTTAACAGAAAACCCGCTATCCCATACTGAGGGACTTTCCTCCAACTTTCGCAGAATGAGGAGAGCAGCGGAATGATAAGAGCGGAATCGTTACCCTGAGTGGTCATAGGAGAGTGACTCATGCGCGGTGCTGGTCCACTACCATCCGACTGGCTACTCGACGGACGTGGAGGCATCTGAACGTTTTGTTGGCCTGTACATTGAAGAATAAGTTTTCACATGGACTACTCGGAGCGTCAGGCGCGACAAACGAAAAGGAAAGAGAAAGGCGGCGGTAGATACTCTCGCGTAACGTCCACAAGCCGCGCTTGTTCGACACAATCGTTATCAAGATAGAACGCAAACGTAATTTTTGTACGGATACATTGAGCGTGCTGCGCAGGACATCCCAGATCCGTCGGAAGGTTAGCGCGAGGCGTGACTTCCTTCCCAGGGAGGAGTCGATTCGAGAATGCGAAAGAGCGCTCCCGCGTCTCTGGGATATCCTGCGCAGGGCGATCTGCAATAGCAAATTCTCTAGTTAGATACAGATGCGAAGTGAAAAGAGAGACAGACGTAAAAAAGACCGACCAACAGCAGGGGACATCGAGCGAGAACCTGTGGATCCTGTAGGTGACGGGGTAGGTCTCATCCCCTGAGAGTTCGGTGTCCCTGGGCAGGCTGGTCCATTCGAACTGTCGTTACTATTCTGTCCTGATAGCTCCTGCAATCCAGATCAAATCACAGAATGACAATCTGCGACCAGAGAGAGAGAGAGAGAGAGAGAGAAAGAGAGAGAGAGAGGGATCACTTGGGCTTCACTAAACGTCGCCCAACTTAAATCTCTCGGCTCGATTCACGTTTGTCTCATTCCCAAGTAACAGTTGGCGGGAGACAAAGAACGAGCGTGGCCAAGCTTGAAGTTAAGCGACGCTGGTGAAACTGGGCGTTAGATATTAAACGAGGACGCGAGATCTCGCTCGACTCCCGACTCCTCGTGCGGTCTTACAGCTAGTTTGTACCAGGCGAGCTGCGTGGACGCGCCGACTACGAACAGCTGACGAGGAGGCGGTACACGTCTTACAAAGGTGCAACTTTTCACACAACTATCCCAAATTCGTACATCGTGCGAACAGCCCGCAAATATTGATTGTAGTTCTCTTTTTCCAAGTAGGTCAGCACACAACAGCGAACGTTCGCCGTGGGTTCATCACTGGCGTCCGGTCACAGGCGGGTCGTCGTTGGGGAAAGAAAGGGGAGGGGAAAAAAACAGAGTACGAGAGACACGGAAGCGTTTCCCGATGTAAACAGTCCGCGCGGCCGCGGGACACCCGGGGGCCCCGGGCGGCGTGGCCGAGTCGGGTCCCGCTTGCTCGCTGGCTGCGTCGGCGAGGTGTCCGTGTCGAGCGCGACTCGCGCCGCCTCCGTCGGGCTACGCGGACGCCGTCGGGCGTGCTCTCTCGTGTCGGGCGCGCGTTCGGAGCGCGGCGCGGGCACAATCGCGCGTGTTTCCCCGTCTCTCAAAAATCAATCGACGTCGGCGGCGGCCGTCCGGAGCGGCCGCGCGAAGCGAAGCGAGAACCCAGCAGCGGCGGCGGCGGCGGCGATGTCGCCCATGTTATTCGAGTCCGCGCGCGGCGGCGGGCGGTTAGTATATCGCGCACGAGAAGCGGCCGTTCGTCCCCGTCGCGCGATGCTCCGCGCGTCGGCGAGCGGTACGTGGCGGACGGTTCCTCGGGCCGCGATCGTTGCCGTCGTTGTCGTCGCAACGCGATGGCACGCGGCGTCGTCCCTCGGCCACAGTCCACGGAGCGCGCACAACAACCGTGTGTATATACCCGACGGTCGGGATCGGCGTGTGTGTGCGCGCGCGCGCTCCCGCGCGGGTGCATGTGCCCGCGTGTACACGCACTTGGTACGGGTCGTCCGTCACAACGAGGCATCGGGCACAGCCGAGCGGGCCCCGCGCTGCGTGTGCGTGAACACGCGCGCGTGTGCGTGCATTCAGGCTGGGCGAGGGGGCGGGCGGGGCGGGCGGCGGGAAGGAGAAAGAGAGTGGAACGGAGACGAGGATAGGCGTACGGTCGGCGAGAGAGACGGACGCGGAGGGTAGAGGAGGGCAGGTAGGGACGGTGGAGCGGCCGCGAAAGGAAGAGAGAGACGGAGCGAGGCGGGGCGCGGGGGGAGCGGAGCGAGGCCGAGAGGAACGAAAGAAAATTCAGGCAACATCATTACAACCTACCAGGCCGCGTATAGTTGGTCCGTGTGGATGGCGATTAAACACTTCCTCGGGCGCGCGAGCGAATGTACGGTACATAGGCCGTCCGGCGGCACAAGGACTCTCGGCATGACGCGAGAGATCGAAGGAGAGGCGTTACCCGGCTCTCCACTTGAGGCACGACGAGTAGCAACCGGAGGCGGCGAGCGAGCGAGAGCGAGAGCGCGAGCGAGAGCGAGAGAGAGGGAGGGAGAGAGAGAAACAATAAGAGAAACGGATTTTGCCACCGCGCGGAGTCGCGCTTTCACATGTTTGTCGAACGCGCGCGCGGCGCGGAGCGGAGCCGAACGTGTACGCGCGAAGCGGAGTCGCGGAGCGTTGCTCCTCGCGCCGCGGATTCCCTCGGGGGCGCCGCGAGCGAGCGAGTTTATCGGGCCATCGTTGCCGCTGGCGTGCCGGTTAACGCGGGCATTATATTCCTGGTAGTATTCGTTCCTGGTTGTGCCGCCGCCGCCGCCGCCGCCACCCCCCTCCCTCGCTCTTTCCGCGCGTCGGAGGACGCGCGCGCTCTTTCCCCCCCCCCCTCTCTCTCTCTCTCTTTCGCTCTTTTATTCCGCCAACGCCGTCGTTTCGCCGTCGTGTGCGTGCCACCTCGTTCTCCTCGGGCGTCGCATGTCGTGTCAATAAGTCCGCCAAAGGGCGCCGTGTCACGGTACCGAGAGGCTGACGGAACTCCGGGGTGGCGGGCGCGCGCGCACGCACGCCGAGTCACGTAGAGTAACAGTATCGTCGCGTCCTCGTCGGCCCTTTACTCGCCCGCGTGAGTGCACGCGTGCGTCAAGCAGGTTATAATCCGCGCTCGGGCGGCGAACGTGCGCGACGGAGAGAGCGCGAGACGCCGAGGGAGAAGCGAGTCTTTTATCGGGGTCGCTCCGCCTCGTCGTCGTCGTCGTCGTGGTCGAGAGTTCCGTTTACAGATCCCCGCGTCTAGCTCGGCCAGGCTTGGCTGGCTGGCGGCCGCCCGCTCGCTCGCTCGTTGGCTCGTCGGAGGGCGTTCTTTCGCGGCGCGGCGAGCGCTCGGCGCCGCTCGGCCGTTCCCGCCGAGCCTCGGGCCCCGGCCGTGCGCCAGCGAATCGTTCCCAAAAGCCCCTGGCTCTGGTCTCGGCAACTCTATCCGAAGTCGATATATTCCCGTATATATAGTCAGACTCTACTATCTATTCCCGCTAATAATGTTATTCCCGTTAACGTGTTACGTTTTCGCGGCCGCGCGCGGCCCGGGGTTCCCCTGGACTTTTCTCTCTCCCCCCCCCTCCCCCTCGTCCCGACGTAACCGAGAGATCGCGGAATTGCCGTGCGGTCGACTTCGCCGTCGGCCGCGAATCCCCGTCGAACGTACAGCGCGCGCGGATCGGCTCGTCTGTCTCGGGATACATAGATGTGCACACCACACTCTCGAGTGGTTCGCGCGCGCCCGCGCGCGCAAAGATCGTGGCGCGGCGAGCGGTCGGCAAGTGTCGTGCGACTTCGGCACTTTTCGATCGGCGAATTCGCGTGCCCCAGTAAAGCCTGGGCGCCCGAGAGACTCGTCTATGCGCGATCTCCCCGTGTGTTCTCTCTATGCAAAAATAAGATAAACCCTGCACAATTAAAGAAAGAGAGAGAGGCAGGAACTACATATTAAATTGACGTTTATGTACTCGACGAGAAGGTTCGCGTAAGGACGTTCGAAATATCCCCGCGGCGGAGGGAGAGCGCCAGTTATTTAGCGCTAAATAAACGGTTGTCCGATTCGCGAGATGAAATCGATTCCCGAAATAAAATCGTCCCGCGCGACAGACGGATACATATTCAGACGTTTAGCGCCAAATGCGGAAACACGGGTGGGGAGGGGGGGGGGGTCTAGATTTCCACGTGTACACGCAGGAATCTCACGCTAACGAAAAGCGACGAATCCGTTTTTGTCTCCTTCTCGCGCGTTCGATTCGAACGGCTCGTCGTCGACCGGGCGGGAATTGAGATCGCCTTTAGATACTCCGTGGCCAATGAAACGTTAGCATCTTCAGATAGACTCAAGACGGTCTTGAAATACAAGATCCGGGGCTTAATCGCGAATCTTTTCCTCCAGCGTGAATTCGCGAAAGACTTCATTGGCAAAATACTCGAGGGGGGAAAGCGCTGACCAAAATCTTGTACACCAATGCCCACCGATGCCCGGTGGGCATTACTTTATCTTATTGTCTCACTTTATCTTTATAATGCCCCCAGCAAGGCCTAATGCCCAAACTAATGCCCAGTGATGCCGCAAATCTGCATACACCACAATGCCCTCAGCGGTTTCCCCCTCGCTGAAATCCCTCAATGAAATGTTTCACTTGTCACGAGCTCACGCTGGAGGGAGAGATTCACGATCGAGCCCCTGACAATGAATACCGGTCTACGGCCGGTATTCATAGTCGATTCTTATTTCAAAATCATCTCAAGTGTTGCCTTAAGATGCTAATACGGCTCTGCGATTGGTTAAAAATACAGTATACCTAAGGATGATCCTAAACATAAGAACGGGCAATGAATACCGGTCTACGATCGTACGCCTGTTACACCTAATATGCCTCGGTGGTCGAATTGGTTGAGACGCCTAGAGTGAAGGTAGGTCCAGGTTCAAACCCTGGCCGAGGTAATATTTTTCGCAATAAATTTTCCGCGTTAAAAACACATGGCCAGTCATGGTCGATCGACCGCTTGATCACCGTTACACCTGTCGTACGACAAATTTGTCAAGCGCGCCGATTGGCTGTGCAGGACAGGAGAGAGTCCTCGAGGATCTAGAAATCTTCTAGCTCGTGGCCAATCAGCACGCCCGAAAAATTAGTCGCACGACACATGCAATAGCGCCCTTAGGCGCGCTCTCGGCCCCGCCGGGCGCCCGGTTATCGAATTTCGGCGCGGAACAGCTCGGTTCGCGGGCGAACAGCCGTCCCCGTCTCGGCCGCGAGACGCTATCGGCCGACGCAGTTTCGATTCATATCCAAATCCATTGTCGTCGCGAGTCCGCGCGGAGCGTCCGCGTTATCGCGCCGCGACGGAGTTAATCCGTTCGATAGGAGCGCGCCGATGCGCCACGCGAATGTGTGTACGGAGAAGCTACCCCCCCCCCCCCCCCCCGCCCGACGACGATCCGATCGGCATTTCTTTCTTTCTCTCTTTCTCACGGGCCGGTCGCGGCGAACACACGCAGCAGCCGAAGACGTGC